GTGTTATTAGTTGTAATCGTCCTGCACAACTTCTAATTACTTATCTATTATACATCAGTGCTTGTTCTGTATCTCTCAGGTTAAATCTTTATGGGGCCAATAAAATAGTGTCCAAAACCACATTGTAAACGCAACACGTGCTTCTTTCTTTACCAAGTTAAATGCATTGCGCTAAGGAGGGGTTTGGGAACACATAAATCAATGAACGAATCATATGGGAGTAGCTGGGATAATTAGGTAAAGAATCCTGTAATGTGAACGACTGTTGTAGACATTACACTTCATTGTACTCCAATTAATTGTGGGGGGAAATGGATGTTAATTTGGTTTTGTCTATGAATGCTGTTATTATTATTATTATTATTATTATTATTATTATTATTATTATTATTATTATTGTAAATCTCATCATTTCTGTTGTCAGTTCCAAGTGAGTTCCAAATTTTAATTCACAGGACCATCATTCCAGGTAAAATTCTTAATCAATGTTCCCCTGATGAAACAAAAGTAGATATTAATCCAACCAGAACATTTATTAATTTTTATTTTTTTTTGGATGGACTGTATTTCCCAGAGATGGGTTGCGACTGGAAGGGCATCCGCTGCGTAAAAAAAAACTTGCTGGATAAGTTGGCGGTTCATTCCACTGTGGCAACCCCGGATTAATAAGGGACTAAGCCGACAAGAAAATGAATGAATGGATGGACTGTAAAAGGGAACAACATGTACTTATGGAATGTATTGTAGTAAAATGTATGTCATTTTGCTTTGAAATGATATCCCATAATATAATTCTCTGCTAGCATATAGTACTTGGAAAATATACTGAAGAATATACTGAAGTCTTGAATACTTCACCCTTGTCTTTATTAGTGTAATAAGTATGAGGCTATAATTTAAATATACATTATTGCTATAATGTTTGGCAAGATTAAATCATGTGTGTCTATTTTGCTTATTAGAGACGGCAAGCTCTGTTATAGTTCATTGTGAATAAAGTCTTTCATTAAGCTTCACAAACAGCTTTTTTTTCCCTCTCTCTCTCACTTGCTTTTAACAAGGAGCAGGGGCGCTGCTAGCAATTTTGGGCCCTATGAAAGAACATTTGAGGTTTTGGCCTCCTGCTAGTACTGTTAATACTAATAAAGCAGATCTCTGGGAGCCCCCGAAGTGCGTGGGCCCAGAATTATCCTAACTTATGCCCCTAACAAGAAGTATCTTAAGATCAAATGAATCTGAATCTAGAAATTCATCTTGTTTTCTTATTTTTCTTAAAATGATACAAGAAAAATGTTTTAACAATGTAATTATAATAATTCAACAGTCACTGTTGGCATTTAAAGCAATACAGATTCCTAACCCCTTTTTTTTTAATAAAGCATGAATAGTCCTTACTTTAGATTAAGTCACAAAACTGCATGAAGCATTTATTAACATTCAGAGTAACTAATTATACTACATATATAATTATACTACATATATATAGTATACATAGTATACTACAGTTACTATATTTACTACATTATTATAAGTTGCAAACAATTTATAAGGGTGGAGTTTAAACAAACAAATTGAATTTAGTAATGTTCAACTTAATTTGTGTGTTTAAATTCAGCCCAAATAAACTGTTTACAACCACTTAGCTTTAAAATGTAGTAAATCCAAGCAATCCTCTTTGAATATTTTTTTCAGTGTATGCCTGCATAATAATATGTATAAATTATTATTTAAATAGTTTATTAATCATTTACTTACTCATTCTGAATGATCCTTAAAACAACCCACTGCTTTAAATAACTGCAATATAAATAATGAATACTGTATTTTGCACTGAACAAATAATCATTAACAATGTATAAAGTACAATTATTAAGCACATTATACATGTAGCTGTACACTCTAAAAAAAAATTCCGTAAAAAAACGGTAAAATGTACTGGCAGCTCATTACACAAATATTTTACCGTAAATTAAAAACGGAAAACTTCTGTTAATTAACAGTGTGTCAACATTAAAAAAACTAAAAAATATCCGTTTTTTGACAGTTAAACTACTGTAAAATAACCAACCATTTTATAGTAATTTAAGGGTTTTCTATATAAAAAAACGGTTATTTTCTGTGTTTTTAAGGGTATACCAACAGTAAAAAAGCGGAAATATTCTGTGTTTTAATAGTATACCTTCTGTAAAAAAACAGACAGATTCTGTGTTTTAATAGTATACCTTCTGTAAAAAAACAGACAGATTCTGTATTTTAATAGTATACCTACTGTAAAATACAGACATATTCTGTATTTTAATAGTATACCTACTGTAAAAAGAGGAGTTTTTTTGGGTTTTAATAGTATACCTACAGTGAAAAAATGAACAGATTCTTTGTTTTAATGGGATACCTACTGTAAAAAATAATTATTTTACTAATTTAATGCTCTTCAAGCAGCATAGAAATGGCAATTGGTAAGGACAAACATATGGGAAATACACTATTAATGGTTTACAATAGTAAAACAAAACATTTATTCTATACTGTATGTGTAGAGAAGCAGTAAATAGTTTGTTATCTGTGAACTTGCAATGATTAGTACAAAAACAACTTTGCAATTAAAACAGATTCTTTAATGAATACAAATCATTTGAATTCCAAATAGCTAGTTATACACACAATAATACATATTGACATGTGAATCGCACCGTGAGAAGTCTTGGCAAATAATCTCATAGCAAATTAGTTTTAAATGTTAGCTTTAAGATAATTAAGGGCAAGTGGGCAAATTACAAGTACTTTACATTAAGAAACCAGGTTAACTGCAAGATGGCAGGAAACAGACGATACAACTGGGTCTTCTTCCTCTCCAATACTGATACTTCAATGGCTGTAAAACAAACAAACAAAAAAAAATATTACTAATGACTTTTCACTTACAACTGGGGTGATTCCTAGCATGTCAATAGTTCTGTTAATCATTGCCTCTACATTAATAGATGTTAGTAGTCGGTTTTAAATACAGCTACAAATGCTGTAATCTTGACTTAAGCACATTTATAATGTGCTTAATAATTGTGTTAACAAACTTTAATGATTGATTTTACATGACTATTTTTATAATAAAAAAAAAAATATATATATATATATATATATATATTATATTGCATTATTTACAAAACATCTTCCAGTTTGGTGGCCTAATCTAAAGTGAGGATTATTTATGATTTATAAATCCTTATAAACGACAGTTAAAGGCTCAGTATTAAATTAACAATAAATCATTACAGTCTTATCTAAAAAAATGTAATTACTGTAAATATGAAACCTTGCTGAATAGCAGGAGTGCCAAAACATAAGATAAAACTGGATAAAACAACAATAAAATAATTTAATGATACATTACGATGCAACATTTCAGTGTTATTTAGCTAGGTTTAAACTGTACAGTAATTTTATTTTAGATAAGATTTATTTTTCATTTAATACAATAAAATGAATTTCATTCTTAGAATATAACTGAACCTTTAATTGTGATTTATAAGGGGATTTACAAAGCATAAACAATCCTCACTTTAGGCTACAAAACTGGATGAAGTTAACAAAAGCACTTATTAAAATAAGTATTGTATATACTTTATATACTTATTTTTTTATACTTTATATACAAGTATAACTATTACTATTCATTCATGCATTTTCCTTCAGCTTAGTGTGTACTCGCACTATGTACAGTTGCCTTGAACCAGGCCGAAGCACGCTTGTCCTCCCTACCGTCTCCCCTGACGTCCCGCACTCACATTGCATTCGAGCCTGAGCACTCTTACATCATCGATGATGCCCCGTTTAGTTTAAGAAGTGCTCTCTCTCAGCACAGTGGAGAATTCTTAAATTATTTTGTTTTAGTCGTTTGGGATGCAGTAACACGCAGTCAAATATTTTGCCGAACAGATCAGCCACTTTTGATGTTCATAAATTCCTTGTGCTGCAGGAATAGGAGGTTTGCTAAAGGGCGCAGCTGTGGTGCAGTAAAGGGTTTGCGTCTTTAATAATTAACGACAGTTTGCGTTTATTGAACAGTAATAGTGGTTAATTTATCCAAATCAAACCGTCCCTTGCAAACTGTCACAAAAGACACAAACCCCTCACTGCACAACAGCTGCACCTTTAGCAAACCTCCTAGTACCTGCCGCACGATGACTTTGATTGTTTATGAGCGTCAAAAGTAGCTGATCTGTTCGGCGAAATATTTGACTGCGTGTCACTGCATTTTAAACAACTAAAACGATATAACAATATAAAGAAATCTCCACTGTGCTGAGTGAGAGCACTTGTTAAACTGAACAGCACATTATCGATGACGTAAGCGTCGGGGAGACAAGCACGCTTCCAGTTTCAAGGTAACTCTGCATAGCATGAGTACGCCCTTGGAAACACCCATACACACTTATTTACAAACACACTCATACACCACAGCCAATTTAGTTAATCAATTTCCCTATAGCGCATGTCTTTGGACTGTCGGGAAAACCGGAGCACCCGGAGGAAACCCTCGGCAACACAGGGAAAACATGCAAACTCCATACAGAATTACCAACTGAGACTTGAACCAGAGACCTTCTTGCTGTGAGGCGACAGTGCTAGCCACTGTGCTGCCCAACTATTACTATATGCCTGAATAATAAGATATTTAAATGTTAGTTTGAATAGTTTATTAACCATTTACTTAAACATTCTGAATGATTAGAAAAAAAATACACCATTAGAAAAAAAAATACACTATTCTTAAATCACTGGTTTGTAAATAATGCGATACTAAATTTAGAATGAAAAATTGATCATTAACAAAATATGAAAACAAAATAATTAAGCACATTATAGATGTGCTTATAAGTCAAAATTACAGCATTTGCAGCTGTAGTTATAAACTGTATACTAAGGTCTATTAATGTAGAGTCAATGCTTAACAGAACTTTTTGCTAATGCTTAACAAATTAATCAATAGTGTTTAGTTATTATAAAGTGTTACCGGTGTGCTTAATTACCTTTAAATCTTCCAAGGATTTTGAAAGTCTTTCTGGTCTGACAGGAATCGAAGGAGTTTAGATGGTATGTTTCTGCTTGGTGCCCTTTTTTCTGCTTTGGACCTACTTTCTGGATAGTTACTCAGCATGCTCCTGTTGTAAATACAACAAACATGTATCACCTTACTTATCTTGTAAAAATGAAATAAACTTAAAAATGTAAAAACATACCTTCATATAAACTACAGAGTCAGGGCTGCTTCCTTAGGCTACATAATGTTTAGCACATAAGAGACTAAACATGTAGCTGACCACAATTAGGGGACAGCTCAATGATCTTGTTATTGTGGCTGTGGACTCTTCTTCTGAAAAAAAGAAAAGTGAGTTGTGTGTTGGGTCTGGTACACGCCTACATGGAAAGAACCTATATAAACATATGGTTTAATATAGGTTTTTGAAATATGTGACACATATAAAATTGGCTGTTTTCCTATATTATATGTACATATATGGGTACATATATGCACACCTATATGTTAAATTATTAATATTATTAATAATATTATAAATAATATAATTATTATGTAAAATTATTCAAATACATGTCTGCTACATAATTTAAAAGAAATTTTTAAAAAATTATTTACTTAATCAAATATTACAAGAAATAAATATAGTGCAGAAACAAAAATAAGGCAAAAAACAACAATAAAGGAAAGAAAACAAAATAAAAAGAACAACAAACCATTTTGTTATACTTTTTCTTCTTTTCCACTATATTTATGCAAGAAAGAATTGACCTTGCAAATGTTTCAGGAAAACGTGTAGACATCATAGCTTTCCATCTCCTCTCACTTATTTGCCATAGTTAAATTCCATAACATGCCAATTACATGTGATACCAAATTCAAGTGGCACATTCATAAGTTTTTTGCATTTTTAAAAATGAGTTCTTTTCCAGATAGCAGACCTAAGTTAAATTAACATTGAAATGTTAAAACATCAATCAAACTATCATTGAAACAATGTTAAAAGTCATCACTGATTTTTAGGCAGTTTTCCACCCTGAAATAATGTTAATTCTATGATGATAAATAGACAAAACTGTCCCAAAACCAGCATTTATTCAACCAAAATTAAATCATTTTTTACAATGAACCCAACATTAAATAAAATGTTAAATCAACCACACTATCATAAAATTAATGTTAAAATTTAAAGTAGATTTTTAGCCAGTTTTGCATCCTGAAAAAATGTTATTACAATCACGATAAATAGATTAAACAGTCACAAAATCAGCATGAAGGCCTGGCTCACCATCAAGATGCCTACATTGAAAATGTCTTTCTCATCATCAGGTGGCTAAGAGAGAAAAGAAAAGAGATTCAGCAGTGGACCAGTTATTTCCTTATCATTTTAAACAGACATAACCAAAATAAAGAACTTGTAACATTTTAAATGTTGTAAAAATAAATAATAATAATAAATAACTGCTTTGTTCATTTAACAGATTACAGTTGCAGCCCAGTACTTTTAGTTTGAATACATGTTAACAAAATTTCAAAATTACTGAAGCAAAATGTGTTCATGTAAACACTTAGTAAAAATATAGGTACAGGTAATTGGTTTTGCCAAATAATAAAAATAAAAGCACTAATATCAAACAAAAACCCTGAACTTTTTACCTCTTAAACTTTGCAGTTTACTGTCATCCCCTGTATGAAGTACAGATGGTCCAGCACAACTGCCTGAGTTCTGAAAGAGCAAACACATATTTTTTGTATTATTTATAAAAATGCAGTACTGACCAGTCAGCATCAATTTCTACACCAACACACCTACAACAAAAATAACACTCATTCAGTTTGAAACATGCAACATGTAGTCTACTGTTATACTTTACAAACTTTGAATAATAAAAAATGAAAACATTTAAAACCCCAGGTGTATTTTATTTAATTTGTCTATATCAATTGAAATTTAGTTTGGATTGAACGTAAGATTTAAGATTTTTATTTAGATTGCTGTGAAAATGTACCTGTACCTTGTACTTATAACCAAAATGACAGAACCTGGAAGTGAACAAAGCAAAATATCAGTGAACCTTATATATGCACAAAACACTCAAAATCAAACAGAAAAAACGCTGAACATTTTACCTCTTAAACTTCAAAGTTTACCGTCATCTCCTGTATAAGGTACAGAAGGTCCAGCACAACTGCCTGAGTTCTGAAAGAGCAAACACATTCTTGGTAAAATTACAATAGATGCAATGCTAAATATAAATCATTGTTTATTTTTTTGGTTAAAAAATGCAGTACTGACCAGTCAGCATCAATTTTTACACCAACACACCTACAACAAAAATAACACTCATTCAGTTTGAAACATGCAGCATATAGTCTACTTTTAAATTTTACAAACTTTGTAAATAAAAATATGAAAACATTTAAAATCCCAGGTGTATTTTATTTAATCTGTCCATATTAATTCAAATTCAGTTTGGATTGAATTTAAGATTTTAATTTAGATTGCTGTGAAAATGTACATGTACCTTGTACTTATAACCAAAATGACAGCATAAACATACAGCAAATCTTATATCCTATATCAGTGAACCTTATATCTACAAAACACTCAAAATCAAACAGAAAAACCCTGAACATTTTACCTCTTAAACTTGAAAGTTTACTGTCATCTCCTGTATAAAGTACAGAAGGTCCAGCACAACTGCCTGAGTTCTGAAAGAGCAAACACATTCTTGGTAAAATGACAATACATGCAACGCTACATATAAATCATTATTTTTATGGTTAAAAATGCAGTACTAACCAGTCAGCATCAATTTTTACACCAACACACCTACAACAAAAATAACACATTCAGTTTGAGACAGTATACATTTAAACTTCACAAACGTCGTGAATAATAAAAAAATGAAAACATTTAAAATCCCATGTGTATTTTATTTCATTTGTCCATATCAATTCAAATTCAGTTTGGATTGAATCTAAGAATTTACCTGTACCATGTACTTATAACCAAAATGAAAGAACCTGGAAGTCAACAAAACAAAATATCAGTGAACATTATATGTGCAAAACACTCAGACTCAAAATCTACATAAAAAGATTTCACTTGTGATAACACCATGTGTAGTTGACTCTATTATCAAGGCTTCATTAAAATAAAACTCCTGATATCCTAATAGTAATGAAAGTATTATTTGCTATAATGATTCTAACTGACAGTTAGTCTGAAGAATTGTAAGACTGTGGAAGAACAGCTCATCTTTATATCTTCATAATAGCAGCTGTTGAGGTTCTTAAAAGTGAACTTGGCTAAATCTGCAAGTTGACAAGACGTTCATAAGTATAATATCCATGACAGTTCAACTCGACTACAACAAACATTTAATTGTGTGCTTTAAGGTACACGTTGTATTTGAGGCCTAAAACGCATGACAGTGTAAACACTATATATAATTTTAAATGTCACACACTTACTGTATCACTCTGTTATCTCTGTACACACAAACACACGTCGCGAAATGCGGAAGTTTTTTTTCGTTCCATTTGGCGAGCGTTATTAAATTTCATAACACTCTCATCAGTTCTTCCTTCTTATTTGCGTCTAATACCCCAGTTTGTCACGCGGGATGAATGAATGTTCATGAGTTAAAGTGAAACTGCCGAACTGCAGTTTAAGTCAGGCATCCTGCTGATTTGATTCAGAGGGGCACTTGTTTGTCAGACGGCTCACCGGTCAGGTATACATCCGCGCTAAACTACCAAAGTATGAAAGTCAGCTCCCAACCCAACGTTGAGAATAGATTAACGGCGATATATTTTTTTTATCGCGCGATAAAAGTCTCGCGTTAACGCAGCACGTTAATGCTGATAAGGGCCCACCAATAATAATAACTTTATGAGTGTGTATTTCCCCTCATACCGATTTACACAATGCCTCAAATTCACGCGGGTCTAACTTATACTTAAAAACCAGCAAAGCTGTTCCACTGAATCTCGGTCACACAGCCTTAATACGTCGGTCAAACCAAAGCTAACATTTGATAACGTCAGTAAAAATATAAAATTAGTTATTAATATGCAAACAAACACAGACGGTCAGGTGTTACGAGCGTTTGAAACACGTTAACAAAGTTCATTAAATTTTCATTAAATGAAAATTCATTAAATGTAACGGTTCATTAAATGTAACGTTAACCAGTCATCGATATACACCTTCAGCACTATATATCAACCAAACTACACAGTGTCACAAACTTTGAATGCTATCCCTTGTTCAATGCACTGTACAAAGAAAACATTTATATTTCTATTAAATAATTAACATACCTTTTACACTCTCACAGACAAGCTGACGTTTTACCGTTAATCCAGTCAGACTCACGCAGGTGCAGAGGGAGTGAGTGGGTGATTGGACGTCACATCACTTCCCGCGCACGGCAGTTTAGAAAAATACGGACAAACAACTGTAAATGAACAGATATCATATTTACTGATGAGGAAAACGCATAAAAAGGTAAAAATTCATTAGATAAATGCTTGTTTAAATTACATTTAACCACTCATAGCTCAGTTTGGTCTTAATGATATAAAGTCTGATCTTATTAACAATATTAAACGTAATTCACTGCTGTACTTTCCATGGCCGCTTCAGACAAGACAAAAATAATTTTAAATAACGATACAAATGTAATAAAGCAGTATTTTAACTAAAATATTGTTATATGTTTTATTAATCGTACTTACCAGGGAAAAAACAGAGGAAGAAATATGGCCCGGTGTCCATCAAACGCTGCCTGAGCTGCGATCCCCTTCCCATAATGCAATTCGAAAATGTATATAAACGGAAAAACACCCGTAATACGTGTATACGGAAAAAATCCGTTAAAATATACAGTCATTTAACTGTTATTTTACAGATTTTTTTTACAGTGTAGTTATAAACTGCTTACTAATGGCTATTACTAATGTAAAGTTAATGCTTTTAAATTATTTATTAACTATTTGCTTATGCTTAGTTAATTATTCATAATGTGCAGTTATCATAGTCTTACCGATTTCTAAAGCCTTCTTCTATTAATGAACCTATCAGTCTAGCCTGATTTCACAAGGAAACGTAAGTATTTTACGTGGCGAGTTCAGTTGTATGAAAATGTATGATTTTAAAAAAAGAGGCGTGGCACATAACCCCACCCCTAATTTCAACCGTCATTGGGTGATAGGCAAATCATACTAAAATGTTCGAATTAGATTGTACAAATTTCAACCCAGGCTCATTCTGAAAACGTAATCTCGTGGACGTTTTTGGAGACAGCAAAATACGTATTTGTGCAGTTTTTTTTTTTTTTTTTGCAAATCCGCAAGAGGCCGCTGTGCACCCTTTTTCACATCTCGAACGTTTCTCGCGAGCGCCGTTTGCAGCCGCGCCGTTCGTTGACAAAATCATACGAATTAGCCACTAAATCAAAAAGTTACGAATTGTTGTGAGATTGAATTGATTCTGTCTAAAAACAACACAGTAATGCTCCCATATTTCTCTAATTCTAAATACCAGGCAAAAAGTTTGCCTTTCACCCTCCTTTTTAAAATGGAGGATCACTTAATTAATGGTTGGCTTTTATCACTATTTAAATGTCTTTCTTTTAAAAAAGAAACAAATAATAAGTGAAAAATGTGTAATTTCCACCAGAATGACCCTTTTTGATCCAGAGCTCATGGCAATACTTCAAATTAAATGTATTCAAAGGTTTTGTTAGACATTTTTATTTATTTATTTTTTATTATTATTATTTTTTTTTTCTGGCAAGTAATCGAATGAAAAACTTGTCATGTTCACCAGCAATTGGGGACTGCTGATATTGCTGGTGAACTACAGTTCAGTCATGAACTACAAATCCCTTCATTCTGCTACACAAACACCAGGTTTCACTTCCACTGATCACACACACACACAGCTGAATCCTGTCACTACTGATTATTTTGACTTTTTGTATACACCCTGCACCCGTTGGTTGTTACTGAGTGGTTTGTTTTTGTATGTTGTTCGTGTGGTGAGTTCCGGTACCTTGCATTAGTTTCTTGTTTTGTTTATTATTGTTATTTTGATACTCATGTTTTTGGATGTCCTGTTGTTTTTCTGTTATCTGCATGATTATTTCTTCATTAAATGCACTTGGATCCCATCTTTTTCTATCAGTCTTTTCAATGTACCGTGACAAAACAAGTCAAGATGCAGAGCTTTAAAGCCAGTGTGTTGTAGTACTCAAGACTAGTCTTGGTGTGAGTCCCAGACCATATTTTCATAGCCCTTACATTCTTCAGGACTCTGTCTTGACTTAAATTTGACCCTCTTCAGTTTTCAGTTTTGAACCAGACTCAACCTCAAAATGAACTTGTCTTGACTGCAACACCATATACATGAATCTTAAAAAAAAAATAAAAAAAATCAGTAGGTGGTTGTACTTTAAACTGAAGTATATGTCTGAACCACCTCTTTCATCTTTGCTCACATTGATTCCCACCAGTGCTCCAGATTCTCTACTGCTGATTGAGCATGATCAATACAGACAATCAGCCATGATAACTTGGAGGAATATGGGAACCAATCAACACTAACACAGCATGTACAGACACAATGTGCTTTGATTGATCTAAACAGCTCTTTGGCAGTGTTTATATCTCTTGCTTTTAAACTGGCCTGAAAAATTAAACGCCTACATTTTATTTGACGCAGAAAGAGGCCACAACGTGGGTGGGGGGGGGTCTCGCAAACACAATGCAAATGCGTTTATAAAGCTCCTCACAGGTGAAATTTCATTTAAGTAATAATCAGACCTAGAAGTTAATTTCTAACTTTATTTTGCTTTAATATGGCTTATACATACATTCAGACAGTAAATTTGTGGGTATGTTTAGAATGGCGGCTCCTGGCAACAAACGAGGTGGCAGATAGATGCGAGCTAATACAGCTAACGTTAGCTCGGCTGACTCACGAGGCACTCACGAGGGAGAATCACTTTCAGCTGGAATGTTTAAACAATCTCTAGAGTCTATGAAAAATGGCATTTGTATTAAATTTAAAGTGTGATCAGCGATCTACAATCAGGTATCAACGGAGTGAAGGAAGAGTTGACTTCAGCTGTTGCCACAATTCAACAATCGCTTGGCTCGCAGAGAGCTGTCAAGGATTTGACGACAGCAACGAGCAATTCTCTAACGTACCTTGAAACCACCGTGGATAATCTCCAAACTAAGGTTACAGCCCTGTCTTTAAAGTTTGAAGATTAAGAAAGCAGATCAAGGAGGAATAACATCAGACTGATCGGAATTAGCGAGGGAGAGAAAGGCAACCGTCCAACGGAGTTCATTTTAAACTTTCTCTGCGATCTGTTGAACATGAAGGGAAGCTGCTGCTTGATCAAGCTTACAGTTCACTTCAACCAAAGCCCAAACCTGGTCAACCACCCACGCCCTTCATCATTAGAGTCCACTTTTTCCATATTTGTGAACAGATTCTCCAAATGGCGCGTCTAGAAGGAAGGCTGACATACAAGGGAAAACCTGTCTTTCTCTTCCCTGACCTTATGGCTAACGAGGCCAAGAAAAGAGCGGCTTTCGAAGAAGTGAGCAAATTCATATTAAACTTAGAAGGGGCTCAATTCGGCTTTCGACATCCCGCTAGATTTTATATTACCTTGCCAGGTAATACAGAGCAGCTATTTACGAATCCCCACAAAGTGATGGAATATGTGAAAAACACCCTCGCAGCTGACGCAAGTGGAACAAAGACCAGTGTTATGCCTGATTATTTGAAAATCATTCGTCGGCTACCTTTTGAGGTAATTGTCCATTCCAGATTTTCTTGTAAGGTACTTTATCTTTGGAATAATCTGGATTGATTGCATTTTACTTGGACCAGTCCATTATTGTTCTATTATTATTTCATTCTCTGAAAATCAGTCTGAGAAATCTGCATGACTGTTTATTCGCCTAACAGCTAGATTTAAAATCTTTTGATCTTGCCAAAATTTTAAGCACTGGACACACTGGACACTTTTTTGCGCATTGTGGTCTGTTTGCTCAATTTTTTTCTCACCTGATGACGCGCTTGTCTGAGTTTCTTTTCACTAACGCATTCTAGACGACAAGTTTATCGTTTGTGTTTTTTGTCCCATGGCTTTTGCATAAACCTAGTTAAGGGAGGTGTTGGAGTGGGTGGGGGATAACAATGTGTTGTAGTTCAGAATTTTTTTTTTTTTATTTTGTTATTTTTTCCTCTGATTTTTTTTTTTTTTTTTTTGTGGCTACTTGTATTTTACACAATCTATTCTGTCTGTTAAATTTGAAAATATTTCTATACATCTTCAATAAATGATCTAAAATGTATATCAATAAGTGAACTCATAAATTTTGTAAGCTGGAATGTGAAAGGACTTGGTTGTCCCACTAAGCTTAACAAAGTGATCAGTCATTTGGATAATTTACAAGATAAAATAGTTTTCCTACAGGGAACACATGTCAATGATTCTGATCACACCAAGTTACCTAGAAAATGGGTCTCACAATCTTTTCATTCCTTATTTACCAGGAGAAAGACGCCACAAAAACAGAAGCAACACCCTGTGTCTTTATACAGCAATGACCTGGAGGTTTGTAAGGCTATTTATTTTCCAGAGTCATCTCTGAGAGCAGCTCACTATAGGGAAGACTGATATGTGAAGACTATAGCAAACCCTAAAGACATACTTGTGCTGAACAAGTGTTGAGACAAGCATTTATGGTTGATCCTGGTGGAAAGTGTTGTTTTTCAGGGTGTAAGTATAGATAGAGAATAAAGAGAGCGGTTTAGGCAGCATGACCGGTCACTGAGAGTTAATAGAGCCCTAAATGATCTATTACCGAGTTTTCTGCCAGCATTAAAACAGCTAAAGTGGCCCACCTAGAGTTGAAGTCAGACATTTGACTATTAATATCAAGTCTAGTTCACTTTGCAGCTTATTATGGTGGGTTTTACCAAGACAAAAAGCAATCAGTGACATTATGTTTCATTTTTATGTGCCATTTAAGAGTGGTTTATATGGTAATTTGACAAAAAAATAGACCATTGTGCAGAAACACATTGGAATATTTGAGCAAATTGCGAGACTTATGGTAATCTCCTTAATTATCTGACAAACTTTATACAATTGGCAGTCTAACTTTAAAGTTTTCTCTGACCTTGCAGGATAGGACAACCTTTTCACCACAACAAGAGAAGTCGATCAAATCAAATGTGTGATTTCTAAAATACTGCATGTTTACAATGTGCATAACTCATTGCAGTCATTCAAAAAAAGCTTGGCATCTAAAATATTCAACAAAAATTCCAGCAAATCTCAGCAAAGTTTATCAGATTGCACTTTTTTTTTTTCTAAAATGACAATTTGAGGAAAATGTATTCACCCAAAAAAAAAAAAAAAAAAAAACAGCTGCATCTGAAATCCAATTCTGTAACAATCACGAGCAATCTAGCTGGTTGCAGATCTGTGAAAAATCTGCCATGGAACTGGACTTCAAATCCCATCATGCACCTCACACACACACCAGTTCCAATCCTCTCCCTGATTGCACACACAGAGCTGGAAACTAATCATAGACTGATTAAATGGACTATACATATACCTCTCACAAACACACTCATTGCTGAGTCTTGTTATATGTTTACCTGTAATAACACAAAGGGTTTTCTTTGTCTAGTCTTACAATGGCTTTAGATCCTTGCCTTGTTTCTTTGTTTATTCTGTTTGCTGCCTGCACCGACCTTTGCCTGTGACCACGACTACCCTCAAGATTCTGTTTGTCCCTGTTTGATCATTGCCTGCTTGACTAAGCTGTTAATAAACTGTGTTTGGACCCTCACCACCATTGTAACCCGACTCCTAGTGTTACACATACAGTA